TAATGTTTGTCTTATTTAAAAAGAATGTATTATTTTTGCCGTCCAAAGTGCATTGGGTAAAGTTGTTTGAAATCAATTTAAAAGGTTTAGGATAACGATCGCTCGATATTGGTTTAATACGTGATGTGTGGTAGGTTAGACACAATTACACTTTGATCATATCCCCTTTTATGTTGATTATGTTTTCGAACGGCTACGCTCTCTCGCCCAAGAATCTCATAATAAAATTCAGGCAAAGGGCCCCTGCCCGGCCCACTCCGTTGTGTATCTCTCTAAGATCTGTCCGAAACGGCAATTACCCTCACTAATGCGAGCGATGACCAGTGAAATTGACTCATGAATAACTAAATTATTTAGTTACAAAGAAACTTTTAAATTGCCGGGCTAATCCGGAGTTTCGTTAAACTTTGTATGATTATATTCCGGCGCATCCGCCATTTCTGCCACTTCGCATAATCTTTGTTTTAATAAAAGTGCTTTTAAATAAACGAATAAAGTATTTTTAAACTACCCTGGAGAATTTAAACGGCCTAAGATTATTAAATGAATAAATTTATGAGCCATATAATTTAAGTAAAACGTTTTTTATAGTTACTCATTTTATTTCGCCATGGATAAATCCCTCTTAATGTGATTTATTATTCAAAGACAGTTATAAATATGAATCCCCCTTTTTTCCGATATCCCATATTTCCCGCAGACCATTTCCATAAAATGTGCATTTTATATGTGAATCCTATACCGTTATATACTACACGATGCGTGTATAAAAAATCTTTGGGGTCGTATTGAGGTCGTTTCGCTTAGGAAACTACTAAAGACTTTGGCCATTATCAGATATTTGGGTCATTTATAACAATATTTATTTCTACATGTATGTTAAGGACTTAAAAATGACTAATTGTCATCAAACGGTATAAAAGTAGAACAGTTTTTGAGATATAGACAATTTTCCATATAATATAATATGACGGTATTTTTGGATTTTAAATAAGAATTGACTGTTAAATGTCCGGCATACAAATGACTGTGGACTACAGTTATGAGGGGCTGCTTTTTCACTATAATAAAGAAATTTTGACTTATTTATTTTTATAGAGGATCGAGTTGTCAAAAGGAAAAACATTTTTTCCTGCTTGTCCTGCTTGTTTATAAAATGGAATTTCCTTTTAAAAAATTAAATAAAATGTAGAGGGAGCTTAAAAATTAAGAAAACATGAACATAATTTAAGAGAGAAGAACCTTTATTAATTATTTTATAGAAATTTTTTATTTTAATATTTAATTTTATCTGAAACTAAATAAATAAAATTAAATGTTAAATTAATTAATACAATTTTGAATTTAGATTTTTTTAATTGTTATCATTTTTTGTATATTTAAGTATTTTTAATTTTTGGTAATTTCTTAGTTACGGGTTTTATTAGACACGAGCAAGTGTTTAATAAAAACGAGTGTTTAGAAAACGATTTGCATAATATCTACTCCTACATTGACGAGCTGTGACTTTATGGCGTTTTAGTCACGGGCTTTTGGGCATTTTAGTCAAAAGGTGAAGGCTTTATTATAAATTGCGAAAAAGTGAGGTTAAATTCGTCAAATGTCAAATATTTATGAATTAAAATTGGCTTTAAATTCTTATATATGTTCTTCATACACAAAGTATTATGCATAATGCAACTCGTTTTATAAACTTCTTTTGAAAACCGTTAAAATCCTATATAACAGTGAAAGTAAAAAGGATGTGTTATGGGTACTCTACCCAAAATTTTTAATGCTTTATCGGCAAATAGAAGTGTACCAAACGTGCATATAAACCTTTTAAAGATGTGCATGAAGAAACCGTTTAATAATTTTGTATAGGTATTTGTATTGTATTTTAATAATAAAATATTTTCACATTTACTATTATTTTACAAATAAGACACCTTATTTTGACGATTGTATGACATTTAATAACTTAAAGCCCGTGAATAAAAACATGTTGCTAACTTCAGCCCTTTTTAAATAAAAAAAGGCCCATTATCATACATTTTTTATGATACTTTAAATTAAAATATAATTTGCAGTATAAATCTACAGTACCATAGATTTTTAGGTAGCACATATAGCCAATCTATATAGGTGTACAGGCATGTATGTGTGCCATAAAAACATAAATATATAATTGTACAAATATTATTATCTTAAAATCACTTTTTAGTCAAGACATAAACATAATTTTAAACTTTTCCACATAATACCAATATAGAAATGATTTAACAACCCTACAATAGTATATTATGTATCAAGTTTGATAAACGCCATTTTAGACACGAATTTAATTTAGGCACGAGCGAGCTTGCGAGCGAGTGCTTAAATTATTGAGTGTCTAGAAAAGTTTATAAACGAGTTGTGTCTAGAAAAGTTTATAAACGAGTTGCATACTATACTTTTTCTACGACAAATACTTATTATTATCTTAAAATGATTTAAATCAAATATTTGTATAGAGCGCCATCTATAAAACAATAGAGGAATCTGTGTTAGGTACCGTCAAATGTCAAATTTTTCTGTGTTATAAAGGTTATAAATCGAAATATTTTCGTTGAAAATCGATTAATAAGAGTTTTTCTCAGTGAAAGTAAAGAAAATTTTTTATGAGCACTTCACGGTGGAGTCCGAGCTCGAACTTATGTTATACCTATCCAGTTTACTTTCGGCGAAATTAAAAGGTCAGTACAATGTTCATATAAACTTTTCAAATATTGGCGCTGAGAAACTATTTAATGCTTTTGTATTTTTGTATTGCGATAATAAAATAATTTTCACATTTAGTATTATTTTACAAGAAGGGCACTTTATTTTAACGATTGTATGACATTTGACAACTAACTTCAGCCCGTGATAAAAACCTGTTGCTAACTTCAGCCCGTGACTAAAACGCCATAAAGCCCCAACTTTTTGTATTTAAAAGGTCACTTAGTGTCATGGAAATATGTACGATAATGAGCGTTTTAAAGGTGGAAGTAGAAAAAATCTATTTGTTTGTTTTATAGCTTTAATTTGCTTTAACAAGATGTTAAAAATTTTAGAAATACAATACAATAATTAATTTTTCCTAAACCAGAGAACATATTTTATTGAAATTTTTGGTGAGTATTGTTTTTTATTAGGTACAATAGTTAGGCATTGTAGGTATTGATATTTAATCTTGACTTAGTATTAATATAAACCAAGAAAACATTGTGCCCTAAACTGTGCCTTGTGGCACACCCATATCGATTCTTAATTTCTTAACTATAGTTCCTTATTTATTCGAACCATTTGGTATTTGTCTTTAAAGTACTTTTCTCTTGAGCACCCTATACATTTGATTCTATTTTTTTTATTTCAATCTTACAGAAGTAAAATAGTATATTACACTACAAGGGCAGAAAGTGTGAGATTCCTCACACTTTCTGCTCGTGTAGTGTATACTATTTTTCTTGCTACCCCGCAGAAAATACGGGAAAAAATTAAATGTACCTATATAAAAAAACTTGTGTCAAAATTAAAATCTGACGTTTAATTTAATTCTGACGTTTACATTCAAAATCAATCAAACTGTAGCGTTGTCATGGTAATTCAGCGGTGCCAATACAGTAAAAATAAAAGGTTGTATTTTAATTAACAAATTACTACTTTATAAGAATTAAAAGTACCATTAAACACTTAAAACAACATAAAAAGTAAAAAAGTAAAAACATAAATTGTTTATTTGTTGTTATAATTGCAAAATTATGGTTTAAAACTGTCATATTTTTGAGTTTCTCATGTTGGCAGTACGAAATTTGAATGTTAAGCACACGACTAAAAAATTTTTACTCCCGCTATTAGAGTGTGCGCGTATAGCTTGACCAATGCAAGAAACGTAAACTTTCTGCCGTGAAATCGGGGACGAAACAACGTATTTTAAGTCGAAGTAGTAAGAAAAATATTTTATCTCCACGCGGTCTATAATTTAAACTTTATTGTTGTCGACATTCGATAAAGAAATACCTTGTTATGGCCTAGGCCGATAAAAAATTTTATGAGGCAAGTAATTAGTTCGATTTTTTCTCGCTTTGTTTTGACAAATTAATCCTTTTCTAAGAAATTAACGTACTAAACTGGTTTAGTTTATTTATAATAAGCACTAATTTGTTTGTTTTACTGTTAATGTTTAATATTTTTCATTAAATTATTGTAAAATTAAATATGAATAATAAAACAAAAAGTAAGGTTAGGCAACCAAGAAAACGCACGATTCTTTTTCTACGATTTAAATTATCTTTAAGTTTTAATTTGCTTTAAGTTTTCAGTGAAATTAAATGTTAAACACAGCTTAAACATTCCAAACTACCTATTTTTTAAATATTTATTTAACAATTAATTGAATTCAATGTAATAGCAAAAATCCATTTCTACTTAAATCATGTAGCTAGGTATTGTCAAACTATTACAGGTTCTAAAAGCAATAATAATTATTGTACATTTAATGTAATCTTTAGCTAATAAATAAATGAGATTCTAAAAAAGTGAGGTTAGGCCTCTTTGATGTTGAATTAAATTGACGTATATAAAGTGCTTTGAAGATAAAATGTTGTATGCCATTCGGCCAAGAAGTGCCTTTTTGTGCTTCGCTCAATTGAGCTTTGAGCCTTGAGCCTTGAGCTTAGCACAAAAAGAGTTACTTCTTAACCTAATGACATAAATAACTATTTTTTCGTAAAATGCATAATAAAATATTATGTATTTCTTATTTGCAAGTTTATCCGAGGACACACTATATTAATAACTAATGCAACCTTGTGATATTTATCTACCAAACCCTGTTTTTTTTTTCTACATACAATTTAGTATCTTTATGGGTTAAATCGTGTTTTATGTTCCCGATCCGTTAAAATTAATGGCCCAACATTTTCCATAATTGTTCGAAGCCATTAAAATATTTTCTAATTGAGATCGCAGGGTGACCGTTGTTCGCTTTGTTGTTGCAGGACCCTCTGGCCAGCACGGACATTAATGGGAACGACGATGACCCGATGCCGCAGGACAACGGCGATAACAAACACGGTACGCGGTGCGCCGGAGAGGTCGCCGCAGTCGCCTACAACCAATTTTGCGGGATAGGCGTCGCCTATAACGCCAGCATAGGAGGTAAGTACCCACTGTTTTCTTTTTTGTTTTGTTATTTTAATTGTCTTGTTTGGAATTATTATTACGAGGTTGTAAGAATGTTTATTAAATGTGCTCCAATGTCTGACGCAAGAAGACTAAATAAAAGAGGAGTAACTCCAGTGCCGGTTTAAGTTAGTTCGCCGCCCGGTTCTGGCACAAACACAACGCCCAATGCTTTAAAATATTACTTTTTTAAAAACATTTTTAAATTTTTAAGTCTTACTTTCTCACGTCAAGTGGAAGATTAGGTTGGTTAGGCTGGTATCTAACAGTAAACTTAGTATCCTATAAAATATAAAATGAGCCTTTATAAACAAATTATAAAAACTAATCAAAAGCACTAACTAAAAAATAAAACATTCTTTGGTTTATATAAACAATACTAACTAATAAAAACCAATCAAAAGTTATAAATAAATAAAACATTATTCTTTGGTTTAAATAAATATTGAGAAATCCTAATACTAATAATTAAAAGGTTGTTTTCAAGTTTTTATAGTAGCAAATTGTTTTATAACACTTTACATTTATTTCATCTAGCAGGTCTTGATAAATGGACAGAATTACTAAATCTTTCTTGGGGAATTGTATTTCTTAGGTAGTTCTTTACCATTTTTAGAGTAGATAAAGATTGTTCACCAATTGAATTTGAAACCATTATAAAAAAAATTCGCAGACAAATATTAATATTCTGAAATGAAGATATTAATTTATATTCGTATAAAATTTATAGTAATTCCAATGGAGTTTCTATTTTTATTTCCGAAAGGGAAGTTACCAGTTTCTTGAGTTGGACACACTTTTGAGAAAAAAACTCATCCAAATTCTCCACGAAGATTTATGCATTTATATTAAACAAAAATTCAAATTTGTTTGTGCCAGATTTCTAGCTATCATATCGACAAATGATTTCGGATTATAGATTGTCAATTATTAAAATAAAACATATTGTTCGCATTGTTTCTTTTTTGCTTAAACTGTCCTCTGAATTATTTTCTTCAAATTGTAATTTTCTTATGATTATCCGCTTCTGAGCATAATTTTTGTTTCCTGTTAATTTCCTCGTAGTGATCAAAATGATCACGTAAAAAATCAAAGTTCTCAACTAAAAATGACAAAAGATGAGCATTTTTGCTTAAATCCATATTTTGTTTTTGGACTGCTTTATTGGTTTCATTAACCCTTTGCAAAACGTCTATCCAAAAAGTTAAAATTATTCCGTTTCCAATAAATCAAGTTTTTCTGATGGAGAAGCTGCTTCAACTCTAACAACATTTTTCTCATTTGTATCCGTTGTATCCGCCGACGCAGTGTCGCAATAATTTTTTTTCAAAATTCTAACGATTAAGTATTTTTTTTTAAATTATGGGCCCTGTTAAACCGGCACTGAGTAACTCTCGACCACAAGGCATAATAGTTTACGCCAAATAGCGTACGCAGGAAAGCCTACGAAAGCGCATAGCATGGACCTTAGTATACAGAGAAAAAGCTTTTATATTGTAAATGGGTTAACCATTGAGCCAATGGTGTACTATATTTGCAATACCTGAATTACAGCTATGATCAAATGAATGATTGTTTGACTTTTATTTGTGCAAACCTGCTTAAAATTAGTTCAAACATAAGAAGTCATTGAATTAAATTGTAATTCTATTAAATCCGTATTAAAACTTAGTTAAAACATAAGAAATTATTGAATTAAATTTTTAATTAATTGAAGCCACAATGAATCTTAATGAAAAACTATCATTGGCATAAATAAAGTTATGGTTTCTAATGAATGGCTACATTAAATTCAATCAAAGCTCTATTTCTTTTAAATTTGTATATTCTTGTGCAAATATTAGTTGTATAATACATTAATATGAACTTTAAATAAAATGAATTCTGGAAACTACTTCTGGTAGTTGTAAGCGTTCACACCCCCCCAGCAAAGAATCTGTAAAAAGTTACACCTCAAGTGATAAATGAAATATTACACCACGGCAAATGTTATATTAAATTACGACAAATAAATAAAATAAATACTTACGGTAATAAAGCTCATTAATTTAGTAACCCAAGGTACTTGTAAGGTGTTGTATTCATGGGGAAAGTATTTAAAAAGGGAAATAAAAATACAGTAAATAAAAGGCAATAAGTTACGTTTGAACTCAGGTCAAAAACCCGGAAGGCTCCCGTTTAATTTTTTATTAATATCTCTCATAAAACCTTCCAAAATGAGGGATTATGGGAGTGAGTTACACGTATAAAATATTTACAATTTATATCAAACAATAATGATATTTACTTGGACAAAGCAACAAAAATAACCGCAACCCAAACGACATTTAACTTAGTGAACTCTGAAAGAAAAGGACCTCCTACAACCGTTAAAACCACACAATATCTCCTTACTGCGACTACAACCCAAATATAAATAAATATATAAATAACATTAGATAAATAATACATCATACTAGAGCTTAGCTCTCGTTTTTCATTTTTTAATTTTTATCTTCGCTTTTTGCTGATTTGTTTGTTTATTTGTTTGTTTGTTTGGTGAAAGTAGATTGAGTCTTAGTCTCTATTTTTGTATTTTAAATTTAACTTTATTCATCAAGCATTCCGTCTGCAATAGGCCTCCATCATCCAAATAAAGTTTTTGTATTATTTACTGTTGAATTTAAGTTTACTGTTACACAAATTTTCATGTAATATTTATTAGAGTTCAGGCTCAATAAACTGTTGAAAAAGGAGTAAATAATTATTAGGCCGCAATTGCTTCAACTGAGGGTCCGCAATTGTCTATTATGCCTCATTTGTCGGCAAACTTTAATAAATTAATAATTACCATAAAATACTAGGTAATCGAAATGACACAAATAACAAAAACAATATATCGTCGCCCAACGTTGGTACCAGATGAAACAACATATCGTCACCTAATAAAATTTACAGGATAGTAATTCAAAATGGGCTTGTTGCATCATGGACTCCACGGAAAGTGGATAAATTAAATGTCGCTATCGTACAATCACTGTTGCTACTCACTCCAAATGTAATACCAAATATTTAAATATGACTGGTAAAATTACTAATTAATTACGGGACATAAATGTGAATCCGCGAGTACAATTTTATAAATCCCGTATTCAAGAAAATCGATATAAAGTACACTTAATTTACACAGCGTTTATGGAAAATCCCCTTTTTGAAATATTTATTTAAATTAATTAAATAAACCCGAGTACCGTCCTGACATTTAGCTTAATTAAATCGAATACGGTCCTGCCTATTTTAATTGGATAAAATCCCCGTAAATTCTTCTTTTGATTTGATAATTACTCGTTAAAAATCCCTGCCTTTTATTAGATAAAATACACGTACCAATTGTTTATAACTTAGAATATAAATTATAATACGAAATACCTAGTTTTAAACGTAAATTTTACAGCGTGGTTTGTTTTAAACGGCAGCCATTACGGCTAAATAGATCGAACGATGACGCCAAGTCAATTTATCGAATATTTATCTTTACACAAGGTTTTTGTGTAAACTAATTATACCAAAATGCTCGGGAATATTTATACTACAATAATTTAGTTATTTAAAACGTACAAACCTACATTTTTAACCACTTTCCTGCACACACAATTTTTAAAAACCCTTGTCGCTGCTCGGCTCTGCTCCCATGCTCGAATGAATGTTCTCCCCTGCCCGTCACTTGCGTCCCGCATTCTTCCCCCCTACCTTTTCCCACTTAATCAGGAGAGTCTTTCTAACCAATGGCACGCTACCTTTTATATGTCACTTGTATTTCCGTTGCGCTAAATTTAAATGTTAGTTTTATTTACATGGCTTTTTGAATGCATTTATTTTAAACAATTAGGATCGTAATAACCCACGGATTGTTTATTAGGGGGGGTATTTGCAGATCTCCTCATAGTCTTGTGTACAAAGGTTTTTCGATCCATAAGATGAAATTGTTCTGTTTTCTGTAGAAACTATTAGGAACCCACTAGAAGTGTTGGTGATATTAGGCTCTAAGAAAGTTGCTGACCCATCACTAGCAACAGTTACTGTACTACACCTTTTCCAATTGTATTTCAGAAAAGTTCAATTGTAGTTCAGATTAAGAAAATGTATTTCAGAAAGTATTAATTTAATTTTAAATTATCCAAGTGTATATAAGAAAGCATCAATTTAATTTCAGATTAGTAAATTGTATTTTAGAAGATATCAGTTCCATTTAAGATTAATCAATTTTATTTTAGAATGTATCAATTGTATTTCAGATTTGTAAATTGTATTTAAGAAAGCGTTAATAAGAACTCAGAAGTTGTCATTTTAAAATTATAAAACATAAACTCTATTTTAGATGTTATCAATTGTGTTTAAGAAGTTGTCAATTGTATTTCAGAGTCTTTATTTAGTAGACACCTAATAAAAACTAAAAAATATAGATGCATCTATTTTGCTAATATAGTTAGGTTAAATCGTTAAATCAAAGGAATATGTGGTCTTTGCACTATGCTTTACTTAGGTAGGTAAGTATAGTCAATGAAACAAATTTAAAATAAAATAATATTTTTACGTTTACCTATCATGTAATTTTACTGAAAAATTTGTTTCATTGACTATACTTTGACACAAACATAACCTAAAATGCCTTAAATGTCAAGTTTTAAAAAGGCTTCGTTCCGCATCAAATGTCAAAGTGGGACTGATGAGTGGTACATGCTTTATATTTTGGCTTATTTCTGAGATTCAATTTACCCTGAATTTAAAAAAGTTATTCTGAACTATAATTGACACTTTCCTGAATACAATTCATATTTTCTTAAATAAAATTGAGGGTTTCTAAAATACAATTTACGTTTTCGGAATTTCAAATAGTTATTTAAAACTACAATTGACATTTTCTTAAATATAATTTACTAATCCGAAATTCAATTTACACTTTCTAAAATAAAATTAACTAATCTCAAAAACAATTG